ACAACTTATTAAATTATTATTATTTGCTGAACAAACACGTGGATAGATATAAATTAGTTAGCAAGAAATTATGTTTTAGTGAATCATTAAAACAGTGATGATGATAGTATTTATGTAGACCTCACGCTATAGTTTAGATATATTTGTAGACTGCACTATATAGTAGCACCAAATACTATCATATATACATTGATAATCTTTATAATACTATTCTGATTCCAAAAACTGTTGATATATTTTTTCAATACTTATTTATTTGATTAGACACAGGAATAAACCTATTTTTTTCAACAATAAAAAAATACCCCTTTTCAGTAGAGTTTATCAAATTTGGTAAAAAGAAAGAGAGAGAGATAAAATAATGATTTATGGAACTGTTTTAATCTATAACATTTAACAGGCTGACTTGACAGATCAGTTTCCAGTAAAACTATACAGTAAAGCCAATGTTATATGTTTATATTTCATAACTTAGAAATATGGTTTTTTGCTCTACAGTGAGAAGGTAAATTTTCCCTATTGAAGGATACAGAGGCAGAAGAATATTATTTTACAGTTCTAAAGATTTAGGCACAGAATGGTAATATTCGTTTCTCTAGGTCCAGGACGTAAAAGAGCGAGATTCTTATAATCTTTTGCAAACTTATGTATGCGCTGTGAGACTATTATATATATATATATATTAATTTAAGCTCGTTAAACTACTTATATTTTTCTAGTTTTTATTTCCCCCTTTTCAAATTAACTTAGGCCCGGCATGGCCAGGTGGTTAGGGCGCTCGACTCGCAATCTGAGGGTCGCGGGTTCGAATCCCCGTCCCACCAAACATGCTTGCCCTTTCAGCCGTGGAGGCATTATAGTGTGACAGTCAATCCCATTATTCGTTGGTAAAAGAATAGCCCAAGAGTTGGTGGTGATGACTAGCTGCCTTCCCTCTAGTCTTACACTACTAAATTAGGGACGGTTAGTGCGGATAGCCCTCGTGTAGCTTTGCGCGAAATCCATAACTAACAAATTAACTTTCCACGAAAATGACTTCATTTGTATTTAGTTGTGACATTTTTTTTACTGAATTTTTAGCTTTTTCGTTGCGTTGCCTTTGATTCTGCTTAAACAGGTAATCACTTTTAAGTTTTGTTTCTTATCTATCTTTAAGTACTAACCTTAACCATTTTGTAAATTTACACGACTTACCAGGCTATAAATATTTGGACTATACTCACACGCTATGTGGCGCCTCTGTAACTGATGGATATTGCTAAAGTAGTTTAATTTTGTTTTCTGAAATACGTAGAACTGAGTTGTTGTTTTTTTAACAACATTCTAAACATTCCGAAGCGTTCCTATTTTCAGAATTGACCCTGTTCAGTCATAACCGACTAAAAGTTACACCAGTCAGTGAAATGACTTTTGTTTTACTGTTGCTATAATTAGGATTTAGAAATTAAGCCAGATAAAATAAGTTAAGTCGAGAAACATTTCCTATCTTAGATTATTCCGTTTACTAAAATGTGTGAAGTTTGTTTTTAATAACCAGATCTCCTATTTGCTATTCAACAGGTCATTGTTTTGTTGGCTGCAACACGTCATTGTTTTGTTTTATTTTCAAGGGTGGATCACAAATATGGCTGTCTTAAGTTTCAATATTATTGCATCCAAATAACACACAAAGCAGTTCTTCTGTTTAATACCAATTTACTTTCTAATATTTAAAGGGAAACATAAAAAAAGAACTGGACTTGTCGTCTTTCTTGAATATAGTTTTCATCCTTCTGCGGTCAATCTTACTATTCGTTGGTAATAGAGTAGCCCATGAGTTGACGGTGTGTGGTGAAGACTACCTACCCTCCCTCTAGTGTTTCACTGCTAAAATAGGGACGGCTATAGCGCTGAGAGCCCTCGTGTAGCTTTGTGCGAAATCCAAATCACATCAAACCACCCATCTGTCAGCACTGTACACTTAACAACTAATAAAAAACTGTTATAATCTCGTGTTCATCCAATGAACACTGGTTAGATGACGTTATTATAATGATAAGGGTTCAAAAGAATTAAGCAAAGGTGAATTATTTGTACTTAGTGATGGAAATGGGGGCATACGCGGATACACACCGTGTATCTAGTTCTCAGTTTGCATTTTTTTCCCATTAGTTAAGTTTAGTACCACTGAAGATCTTTATTAACCCTATCGTCACGGGTCAAAGACCATGTCATCGCGTTTGTTGACTTACATTCAAAATTTTATTGAATTACTATTTTATGAATTTATGTCAGTAAGTTTGGTATGAAATTGTAGACTATAATTCAAATTTTAGTATTATACATTAGTTAATTTCTTAATTGAAAAATAAGTATTATAAGAACACACCTAAATATCGATTTTTGTGTGTTTCACGTGGTATGTTGAATGCAGCATTGGTTCAAATTAAATGTTGTGATGTCCAAATACAAAGTCTATAGCTTCTTACGAATTAGGAACTCAAATTACCGATATTGACAACACAGAATATAAAATAAGAGCCTCTAAACTTTTCTATTTGCTTTTTTATACCTATCACCCCACTGCTCCTTCTAAGCATGTACCTAGTTCCTAAAACCCATTTCCTTTCCTGTTTGTACTAAACAAAAGGCGTAAGATGCTTAGAAGAGTTGATGACGAGGTTAGATGTCACATTACCGTACAATAAATTATTTTGATAACAGTCGAAGCTCATAGTACAGGGTCTAATAGTGATTTGATTACTTGATATAACGTGAATCGCCTGTTGCAGAACGTTTTTATTTGTTTATGCTGTACGCAACTTATACACTCCTTAAATATATGTTACAAATATAGAAACGAACAGCCTCCTCGAAATTATAGTTTTGAGTGTTTATATAGAGGGTCACACATCACAAACAGATCGCAAATGATCTTGGTTTTAAAGATATTGTCATGAGCATCACCAGGGTAAGGAACTGGGATCTTTGGAAGGGAACAACCCTTCTTTAAAACGTCATGTAGGTTACAGGTATCATTGGAAGGAAGCAACCCTTCTTTAAAACGTCATGTAGGTTACAGGTATCATCGGAAGGAAACAACCCTTCTTTAAAACGTCATGTAGGTTACAGGTATCATCGGAAGGAAACAACCCTTCTTTAAAACGTGAACTTCATTTTTATGATTAAAAACAATAAAAATTATGATTTTATATTCGTGTGTTTCTTGAACATGACAGAAACCATGTACTAGACTACTACTGATTTCCCGGCTAACTTTGGCCTTGATATTCCCCAGTGGTTTAGCGGCAAGCCAGGAGGCTTATAAAGGTTTCGATACCCAGTGTTGGTACAGTACAGATAGCCCATTGTGTAAACTTGCGCCTAATAACAAACAAACAAACATGCCCTGATGTTTTATTGATTTCAGAAACGACTCTTCCCCTCACAAAAAAATCCTGGCGACGCCCCTGATTGTGGTGTAGAAAAAATGAAGCTCTCAGACACAATGGTTGTAAGTTATCACATCGAGTATGCTTGTGTTACTGAAATCTGGATGCCAGCCAGAACACTCAAACTTTTCACGCAAGATACCAAAAATAATTCTCTCGTCATGTCTGCTTGTGGACCTCATTCTAAATACCTAAAGAATGAGCATTGCCACGTGGGTTAGCTGTGAAACAGACTTATCCAAACATTGCCTTCCACAGATATAAAAGTGCCCATTT